CCCTTATTATTGATCTAATTACTCAACTTATGTACGCGATCTTATACTGTGGAATATACACTTTTATCCCGACACGCACACATATCTTTATTTATTGAGGTTAAGTTTGGAGCGGTGTTTATTACTCTTTCACTTCTTATCAATTCATGTCAATGGCACTGACACCACCCTGTTCCCCAGATCGCCCCCTACTGTGTCTCTTTGCTGATGTTCTTGAACAGAAATTTAACCCAGGGGTCAAGATTTGTTCACAGGCAAATCGCGAATGGCGAGAGTTTAATGAATTCGAGGAAATAAAATAATTCGGTTGTTCAAACAAGAAGGATTGCGTGAAAGAAAAAAAATAATCTAGATCACCTCCGCCATGTTGTCCTCACCTTTTGCTCCCCACTAGGACTGACGCTGACCGATTTTGCCATCTCTTCCGATAGCGTTCAATTGACATTTTAGGCTTTTCCATGTCCTAGTTCAAGGGAAAACGCAATCAGTAAGACGCATATATGGCAGTCTTTTCCCAGTAACCTATAAACAGTCGGAAAAGGTAGACTGCGAATGGAGTAAAATAAATAATAAATAAAAAACGAGAAAATTCATTTTTTAAAAAGAGTAATTTACGTAATAGGAAGCGTTTTAACAGAGGACAAAACGCGCGACATTGAAATCCGAAGGCTCATTGGTATAGTATAAGATGCCTTCCTAAAGTTAAGCAAAGTAGTAAGAAACAGAAAGGTTTCGTTAGAAAATAGTACAGAACTGTTACGAAAGAAAAGAGTAATGAAATTTGGCCAAAGAAAAGAGTGCTGAACTGTTAAGAAAAAAAAGAGTACTGAACTTTGACGAAAGAAAAGAGTACTGAACTGTTACGAAATAAAGGAGTACTGAACTGTTACGAAAGAAATGAGTACTGAACTTTGATGAAAGAAAAGAGTTCTGAACTGTTACGAAACATCAGTCCTATGGCAAGAAAATGCTTGACAATCTTCTCACAGATGAAGAAGAAACTTGAAGCAATAGAAATATGGTTCTACAGAAGGATGCTGAGAATACCATGGACTGAACATATGAGCAACGACGAAATTTTAGAGAAAATGAAAAAAAAAAATATACTTAATATCAAGAATCGACAACTGAAATTTATCAGGCACATAATGCGGAAAGATGGCTTAGAAAATTTGATATTCACAGGTCACATTGGATGTAAAAAGGACAAGGGAAAACGACGGATAACCTACTTAGCGAGCTTAGCAGTTAATGGATGCCGTAATCGGGTTTAGGGGAAATAGCAAAACTAAGAAAGAAATTAAGAGCTACAAAAGACAGGAAATTTTAGAAAAAAGAATGTTGACACTGATGTAATCGAATAACCTGCCACCCACATAAGTATCTACAATATAGGTAGTAACTTCCTATAAGTACCTGTAAGTCAACAGACTACAGAGACCAGTTGGAAACTGTTCCAGCTGTGCTGTCGAACTATCTGCCTTCGGGAAGAGAGGAACCCGGACGAGGCTATGCCGAAGGGTAGAGTCTCGTCCGGGAAGGTAGACAGACCCGATCCCGTTTACCGGGGAATTTTTGGCCGAGCCTACAGCCTCGGATTGCCCAACATTAAACTCGACCTTGTGCCACATCCTACCCTGTGGGAGGTTGGTAAATAATACCAGCTGGAATTTGTTCTAGCTGTGCTGGTCAAACTCTCCGCCTCCGGGAAGAGAGGAACCCCAGACGAGGCGATGTCGATGGGCAGATTCTCGTCTCGAGAAACAGCTACCCGGTCCCATTTTATACGGGGTCTACGGAAAATTTTTGGCCGAGTCTACGGGCTCGGATTATCCCACATCAAACTCGGTATTGTGCTACATAGTACCTCGTGGGTGGGGGCTGGTAAATATCGACTAGCTGGAATCTTTTCCAGCTATGCTCATCGAACTCTCTGACTCCGGACAGAGAGGATCCCCAGACGAGGCCATGTCAAAGGGTATAGTCTCTTCTCGGGAAACAGCTACCCGACCCCACTTTTATACGGTGTCTATGGAGACATTTTGACCGAGTGTACGGGCTCGGATTATCCCACATTAAACTCGGCCTCGTGCCACATCCTATCCTCGTGGAGAGGCTGATAAATATCGACTAGCTCGGATCTGCTACTCAGGGCAGAGAGGAACCCGGACGAGGCTGTGCTGAAGAGCAAAGTCTCGTCCGGTGAGGTAGGCAGACCCGAATCCGTTTATGAGGGGGTTACAGTGAATTTTTGGCCGAGCGTACAGGCTCGGATTGCCTCACATTAATCCTGGCTTTGTGCCACATCCTACTCCGTGGGGAGGTTGGTAAATATTACTAGCTGGGATCTGTTGAGTACGACTCAGACTTACACGAGAACTACCGACCTTCCATTAATTACTGGATTGACTTGAGACGACCTTATGGATGACAGTTACCTTTTTTCTTATTGTACTGTTTTTTTTTTACAATAAACCTTTACTTATATTATCCACCTTGTTTTTCAAGTATATATTCATATTATCACGGAATATAACAGACACTTACATGAGAGCCATATAGGTTGGCTCCATCGTCTGAGTTTAATAATTAGTAAGTTTCATTCCTTTTTTTCGTTTAATTAACTAGTCTAAGATGCGATATAAATCATTAGTACACGGCCTTCAATTTGAGAGGGAATTAGCTAAAATTTAATATCCTGCAGCCTTACGTGTACTATTAACCAGCAAGTAATATGCACAATATGTAGCGTTGCCGCTTAGACGAGAGACCAGGTTTGTTTCGAGGATGCAACTGCTGCCAATCGAACTCTTGTGACTTAATGCAAGGAAAACAATTGTTCGGTCGAATCGTTATACTCGAAATAAAACCATGAGACGAGATTGCAGCAGTCGGCAAATTTAATTCTGTTGCAACTTTAATCTCGTAAGGGCCTGCAATAGGCGAGCGAGGAATGAGGCGTGCTGATGGGGGCGAACTGTCTAATCTTCGTGTACCCTTCTTTTTTGCGTCGCGGGCGAACGGCCTTCTGTGTCTTAGGCTGATTATAGAGAACAAGCGCTCTTTGTCCTGCCAAATTTCGTCGAAAAAAGCCATTCATCATGTCCGCTCCCCGCAGCTGACCCTCTTTGTCTGCATCGTTTGATCTGTTTCTTGTGAGGTCCGCTTCACTCAGCTGATCGCTTCACTCGTCAAAACGATTTCTGTAATATCCTGCAGATGTCTCCTGAAAAAGATATTAGCTGACAACTGACATCGCTACAAGTATTGTTTTAAAGAATCTTTATGCGAATTCATGGGTTAATCTCGTTATTATTACAGTGCTATTCGTTAAAAGTGACTCACCTGATTTTTTTTACTAAATGTTCTCTTCTCCGATGAATTGATAGTTGAGCTAAATTCAAAGGATAAGCGATCTAAAATCCGAAGAAGAAGCCTTGAAAGCTCTTTGAATTTAGCAGTAAGTACTGTCAAGCATCCATTCAGTATAATGTTCTGGGGATGCTTTTCTTTTTATGGAACTGGTTTCTTAAAACCTATTGAAAAGACCTTCAGGAGCGAACAGTACAAGAGAATCTTAGAGTCTTGTCTGCTCCCTTCTCCTGAAAGGGTGCAAATCGACCCCACCAAGCTCATTTTTTATGCAGGATAATGCTCCCTGTCACAAATCAAAATTGATGGAGGAATACTTTGATGAGAAGCAGGTGAGTGTCATGACATGGCAGCCCCAATCTCCTGACCTTAACCCCATAGAAAACTTATGGAGTATGTTGCTCAGCTGCTTTCTCGAGAGCCTGTACTTTATAATGCTCCATAAGTTTTTATAATGCTCCATTACGCCTTGCCAATACCTATTAAATAATCGCGTGGAAAAAGTGGAAAAGAAACTACTTTATTTCGGTGAGTAATCTTTTAAGTACCCCCCCCAAGCAAAGCGGGATACCACTAGCACATAAGGGGTTACAGAAAGTGGGAGCAAGAGTAAAGAGGCGTGATAGAGGAAAGGATGAAGAGAAGGACAGGGAATAGGCGAGAGGAAAAAAATCATTCAGGCTTTCAGTAATGATTTCAACATTAATACAATGGCTTCCATCGTCAAAGTTCATTCAAGGACTATCAAAAGAACGGTGAATAAATTTAAAACAGACGGAACAGTAGAGATGAAAACCGAATCAGGAGGTCACAACAGGAAAAGGGATCATTATTTCATTTTTGAGCTAAAGAGATCAATTAGAAAAGATCCAACTCAATCTATAAGTCGTTTGACTTTATCAAGGCAAGTGATGGTAATCAAAAGCGAAATGATGTGTATTTACATGACATTAAAAAAAGACTTCCAATTGTGTATTTTATTCAATTTGTCTTTTCTGCAGCTATATTCTAAGAACTTTAACACATTGTCGACATGGAAAACAAAAGGACGTCCCAGCATTTAAAAAAAAAACCTTTGAACGATATAATTTCAATTTGATTCAAGCATACAATAGATATCAAATATATATATATATATATATATATATATATATATATATATAGAGAGAGAGAGAGAGAGAGAGAGAGAGATAGATAGATAGATAGATAGATAGATAGATAGATAGATAGAGAATGAGAGAGAGAGAGAGAAAATAGAGAAAGTATAAAAGTAAGAGTGGAAAAGAAAAGGCGGGAAAGAGAATGAAAAAGAAACAGACGAATTATTAGCGAGAGCGTAAAACGCCGAGTAATGCTTTGATCCTAAAACCGATAGTATTGCTCTCTCTCTCCCTCACTTTCTCTCTCACTCTCCCTATCTCTCTCTCTCTCTCTCTCACTATCTCTACCTGTCTCTCTCTCCATTCTCTCCGACATTCCTGTTTTTTAGATATTCCCTTCTTGCCTCCTCCGACCCGAACATTCACCAGATATTTAAGATAATTTACACCGAAAATATCTGCTCGCTTACTTTCTCTCTCTTTTTTCCCCCACCTCTCCACCCGCGACTGGTACACAAAAACAAATGATGGACAATATATCTGAGTCCCCCAAATTGTCTTCCCGGAGTCAAAAAAACAAAAAAAAAAACGCAAGGGTTTCGTTAGATGATTTTAAACAGGACGATGTGAGACGGGATTTTGCGGCTGGTTGATTTCCGTCGTAAGAAGTAAAGAAAAAGTAGTGAGATAATGGCTCGTTTCGCTTTTCGCTTTCTCGATGAAATGTAAGAAAAAAATGGCGACATAATTAAAGAAAACATTATGAAAAGAATCCGGATTTTTTACTGGAATTCTTTTCTGCCACACAAGTTGAAACAGTGATTAGAAACATGAAATATGGTCTTTGGAAGATTCTTCGACGAAAGTGAAATATTATCTTTGTTTTTTATAATTACATAAGAAAAAAAGAAAGAAAGAAACTCATCGTAATTTATTTAAAAATCGTGACTGTACGAAATATTTAAATAGGGAGGAAAATGATGGAGTACCCAATGGGACCCTAAAGAGCAATGGCTTTCGAGGTCTGTATTCATCAACATGCTTGATAAACCATTTAAACATTTTTTTTCGTAACTGATAATGCTATTCTCCGCAGATGGTGATGGAGTCTCTCTCACTCTCATTCTCCCCTTCTGTCCCATTACCGCCCCCTCTCTCCTCTTTTTTCTCTCCCCTCCTCCTTCTCCCCTTCTCGCCCCCTCTCTCTGTATGTATATATGGTAAAAATATAGTTCTATCGAATGCTATATTTGTTTGTAAAAGTGCTCAATATCTGGGAAAGGACTGTATTCATCAACATGCACAAGTTAAGCACATTTTGGGAAAAACGCTTGATTCCATTGGTGAAGTTGAATTAAAAAGAATAAAAACTCGTAATTCCAACGGATAATTTATTGTTAAAATAGATATATTTCGGAAAGCTTTTGCAATCTTTGATCACTGTTGAAAAATAAATGAAACAGAAGGTCATGAAGTAGACTTCGACCAACCTGATATTAAAATTGACCAACCAACACAAATTCAACCAAAAGACGAGTAGCTGAACAAATGATAATAGCAAGTACCAAAAATATCTGTAATAGAATTGATGCTGCACAGATTTACCCAGCATGGAATTTCCTACTTCAATAGAAAATACGAAAAAAACTAGTATTTTGTTTTTCTACTCTGACGCTTTCAGTTTACTCATGTCTTGCGAACTCATTTCGATCGATTTTTTTTTATTAAATTTGAATTTATAACGTATACAATGTAGCTGAGTTAGTGTTTGATTTATTTCTCAAGAGTGATCAAGTATTGCAAAAGCTTTCCGAAATATATTTGTATTTAACAATAAATTATCTGTTGGATTTACAAGGTTTTATTCTTTTTAATTTAAGCTATAATTTAGAATTCTATGCGATTTTTAATATGACAGGCAAAGTGCTTTTCACAACATTAAAAAAAACATTTTTCGACATGTCTTTATTCCTTATCAATTATACATTAAAAAATAGATTGAATATTATACAGAGAGAAATTCAGATCGAAATTCAGATAATGATATGTCCGTAGATAGTGGTAGTCTTCCTCTCTCTCCACTTCCTTTCTTTCTTTCTTTCTTTCTATATATATATATATGAAGAAATATAGTCTTAATTTATATAGTCTATATTTATGGGATAAAGTGCTCAATATCAGAGACAGAGCGTGTGTAAATATAAAAGTGAATATTGAAGTCAACACTCAGAGGCGACAGGCTGTTTCGTGTGGCCTGACGATTGTGTCTATCATGAAACAGCCTGTCGCCTCTAAGTGTTAACTTCTATCTTCATATATATATATATATATATATATATATATATATATATATATATATATATATATATATATATATATCCTTACCTGATTTTCTCCACAATATCACTTGCAAGCATACATGTGTAAAACGAAAGGCATCATCCACTGCTAACCCTCATTTATCGTTCACAATAGGACAGTCCACTATATATATATATATATATATATATATATATATATATATATATATATATATATATATATTGTGTATTTAGGCAGCAATTTCTCTTATACATGTTTCATTAAAGACGATAGCCAAGGTACTGCGATTAAGTTTTTATTTAATTTTTCTTGTGTTCGAACACGTGTTTTCTTTTCTGGACTCAAACTATCCAAAAGTTAAGCATATCCGAGCGCTTTCGGCTATTCGTTTAGCCACTATCGAGGCTGATATTTATTTTTATTTTTTATTTTATTTTGTAGTTTTTTTTGTATGCGTCTGAAATTATATGAATGTTTTAGATTCCGAACACAGTCAGCTAAGCTCATAGTTAATATTACTGAATTTTGGCTTTTCTTTTTTTATTATTAGGGCTTCCATTATTTTTAATCATTTATATTTGTGGATGAGGCTATTGTACTTGTATTTTCTATTAGTATGTTTCGGAAAGAGTCTGGGAGGTTTTTGCATGTGTTTAAATGAGTCCTAATGGATCTGGGGTCAGGTATGTATAACGTAAGTTGTTTAGATAGGCATGTAGTGTGAACAATGTAATTATTTATGAGTTTGGCTTTATCAGGAACACAGTTCCTGAAGGGGCATTTGAGGTCGTAAATAATGTTGGTTCTTTTTAGATTTTATTTTTCAGATGTGTTGTTATTTTTGTTGATAGTTTAGGTGTTTTGTAATAGATAATTAATTTTATTTTTTTTGTTCAGGTCGACAGGGCTTGTGTGTTTCTTTATGATATTTCTAAGAGAAAATTCGTTTTGATTATATTGACGTGTATTTGGGTTTTATAGAAGATGTTAAGTTCATTGTTTTATCTGTATGTTCAGTATCGTTATTAGTTACCTTAGAAGAAATAGTCCAATCTGGTGGTCGATGAGGTAGTTAGGAAAACCGTTGTTAACTAGTGTCTGTTTTGCATTATTGAGTTCTTTAAGGAAATGTGAACGAGAGGATGAATTCTCGTGTACTCTCTTTAGGAAATTTTTTTTTATAACTGCTATTTTATATCTAAGTGGACATTCACTCTTAAATTTAAGGTGGTAAGAGTTTCTGCCAGTTTTTTGCATAATTAAATGGTGAATGTGTTATTTAAACTACTGTAGAAGGAAAAAAGAAGAAAATATTTAAACAACAAATATTTAAAACAATAAAATGGCAAAACATTTACGTACAAAGAATAGAGTTGCGTAACAAGCAAATGAAGGAAACCAAACTATATATATATATATATATATATAGAGAGAGAGAGAGAGAGAGAAAGAGAGAGAGAGAGATAATGAATAGACAGGTAACGTAATCAAACTTTGTTTCATGTCTTTGTTTTGAGATTAGTTATGGTCGTTTATTTAGTTTGGTTTGGTTTGGTTTGTTTTTTGGCAATGTTTTTTTTTTTTTTTTTTATGGCAATATTTTTTAAAAAATGTATTTGCTGGTAATTTTTTTTTTTTTTTTCAAAAAAGCATTGCCGGTAATATTTTTTTTTGTCAAAAATATATTGCTAATAATATGGTTTTTCCCAAAATGTATTGCTGGCAATATTTTTTTCTAAAAATGTATTGCTGATATTAAAACCTATTTTTACATTTTCATAGTGTTTTGACCTCATTTTGGGGATTAACTATTAGCCCATAGCCGGAGCCTTAAGAGGTGGCACAACCCCGGGTGAGGGTGAACCTGGGAACACCAGCAATTAAGAGGTGGTTCTACGCTCCTCAAAGCCTCCTGATCAGAGACTTTGCTGCCGGATGTAGTTTATCGTCATACCCAGGACGCCTCATTGGGTTGGGATTTGTTATACAGCACTGTAGAGGTGAAGTCGTCGTATTCTGAAGCCATTCTCATGGATAATCTATGAAAAGACACATAAAAACAAGTACAAGTAATAATAATTAGAAACAACAAATAATTTCGTACACAATAATAAATAATAATAAGTAAATAGCAAAAAAACACTATAAAATGTCAACAAATAATTACATTAGGACCACAATTATTCCTATTCAATACCTTCTGGAATATTTTGAAATTTAACCGTTACCATCTAAACATTTAGGTTAATACAACAGACCTTGCTACCCATAATGCACTATTGGACAGCATATATAAATAGTCGGGCCAAAACACAAGACACATGGCCTGAAGATTGCGTTCATCATTTTGAAAAAAATTATTAAAGCGGTTAGCTTCTTCGCTTGTAGATTGTTGAAGTCACAAGAATTAATTTTTGAAAAGTTAAAACAAACCTCTGAGACGTCAACTTATTCGGAATATTTATTGTAAAAATACTGAATCGAAAAGAATGAAAGCGTAACAGATGTTTACCGAGAATTTGTGGCCGAACCGGGCCGTGACTGTCAGGAAATTAAATGTTTTTTTTAAAGGAGACGTTTTCAGCTTCTCTGCTCGCTTGTATTAAGCGAGTTGTGGTGCTTTTATAGGCCTTAATACGTGCCGGGTTGATGCAGGTTTTGCAATGAATGGTATTCAGGTTTTGCAATGAATGGTATTCACGAAATGGCTTTTATTTCTGCTGTTTATTCAATTTTTATGCTACGAATTGGTCGATTTTTTCATTCGGCATCTGTGAACACATCTATCTATCAATGTCATATAGTGTTCATTATCCTTTCATTCGGTGTGTGTTCATTATCTATCTAATTCTATTCCTATCTATCTCAGTATGTTCCTATCTATCTATCTATCTATCTATCTATCTATCTATCTATCTATCTATCTATCTATCTCAGTCTTTTTACTATCTATCTATCAATCTATTTCAGTTTTTTCCATCTATCTATCTATCTATCTATCTATCTATCTATCTATCTATCTATCTATCTATCTCAGTCTTTTTACTATCTATCTATCTATCTATCTATCTATCTATCTATCTATCTATCTATCTATCTCAGTCTTTTCCCTATCTATCTATCTATCTATCTATCTATCTATCTATCTATCTATCTCAGACTTTTTACTATCTATCTATCTATCTATCTATCTATCTATCTATCTA